CCGTCCTGCCGTTTAAAACAGGCAAACAAACAAATACTCAGGATTACTCAGTATCAAGGACGTTGTAAAAAGGCAGACTCAGTCTCTTGAAGCAACGACTAACTGCAGTATCTAGCTACTATATACTTATACGCGGAATACACATTCATTGACACGAAGGACATATGTCACTTGATACGGCTCGTCATCGTCATTACACTTCATACATTACGGGATTACGGCATTGCAAATACACGCACACACACATACACCACTAGAATTTTGGTGCTTCAATCTTTTCCAAAATAGTACGTCCTTTCTTTCAACGGCCTTGCTCAGATTAAGCGCTGTAAGTGGGGATGGATTGGCCCTTCGAAACATATGCGTGCCCATAAGCAGAGCGTGGGTATGTAGGTACCCAAGCAAGCCCCAACGGAAAAGAAAGCGTGGCCATCCATGGCAAACCTGGCGTCGCAACGTACTGGCAAAAGTTACGAGCATCGGTAAAACATAGAGCGAGGTGAACCGTTTAGTCAAGTCAAATCGCGATGGAGGACTTCAGTGGACGCCCTCTGTCCCCCCTTGGGGGACACAAGATATTAAGTAGGTAAGTTTCTCAGTATATTCATTTTGACTCTCGAATACTCGAACAAAAACGAATAAAACAATATTTTCTGAGTAATTATCCATTTTAGGTATTTATCCGAAAAATCGCTAATTGTTTCTGCAACTGACTAAGTTTAATTTTTAATAGGTTGATTAGTGAATAATTTCTCTAGGAAGACATTGATTTTTTTATGGCATAAGCCGGCAATCGAGCATATAAGTGATATTATGGTCAGCAATCGGCACGGCATTTGGACACTTGGACACCCGAAACTCAGATATAGTATTGTAGTCTTTGACCCGAAATACCACAAGTGCGTTTTTGACATTTGGGGGTTAGAATTTTGGTAACCCCACTCATGCGACAAAACACAACGTAGAATCTTTGATCACTACATTCGTGTCGAAGCATAGTTCTCCCACACTAATCTACAATATTAAGTAAGTAGGTAGGTATATATAATATAATATCCGACGTCATCTTTCCATTGGTAGTACTAATTTACATTTACATTAATAGTAATGTATAATCATGTTGTAATCATAGTGTGATTGCTAGTTAAAAAACTTTTAACACATTACAAAAAAATATTCACTTTGATCTTACCCAAAAGGCCGAGAAGTGATAAAAAAAAAATAAATAAAAAAAACGTAATGTCATTCATTGCTGTCATACTTAAGTGACGTTTTGATGTTTGACGTATTTACGTTATGTCAACTGTCAGTAACGACACGGAAATTTCTTATTTTGTTGATAGAGGGATTTTATTAGAAGATCCAGATTTCTTCAGTTTTCAATTATTTTCCAATTTGATCAGAATATAACAAAGAGTTTCACTTGAATATATGATAAATAGAGAATTTATAATAGTAATTAAGAACCATCTGTCGAATTATAAACAAACACAATGTCACTTCGCCTTAAAATAGAGAAGCAAAAAGCACAAGAAGAAATGCGTCGTTTGATGGCTGAACGAAAAAAGAACAATGTTAAACCAACAAAAATAGATAATCCTCTTGCAAAGTACAACAATACTGGACAACTAATGTGTATACTTTGTAACTCAGTAGTTCGATCAGAACGTGTATGGCCAGTACACATAAATAGTAAACAACACAGAGAGAACGTAGAAAAGGCGAAAAAGTTAAAAGAATTGACAAACAATTTTACTGTTGGAAAGATTAAACATAAAAGTAGCAGTCCACCTAGAGATGCTCCACCTGAAAAGAAGTTAAAAGGAATTTTGAAAAATTCTGACACACCCCAGATCGTTGCTCAGCCACCTAAAAATAAAGCTCCACAAGTAATATCTTTCCATGATGAAGAAATAAAAAGGACACCACTTGTCCTCACAACACCAACTATTAACAAAGAAGGTATTTCTAGTTACATATATAACTGGACACACTGGAGAGCCGGTACACACTATATTTTCTATTGTGTTTCACACAAAACTGTTTCCAGCACACCATAAATCAAGCTCATTCTGAATACTCTGTGAATAATACTACACCACTAATAGTATTGGAAAGAATTGATGAAAAATATAAATATTTTTAGAAACTTGTTTTAGTGTCTCTTTATTGTACACGCAGCTACATCTAGTTTATCATGTACTTGCTTTGTATGATTTTTTTGCACATTTAATGGTCAGTTATCCTACTGATTATGCATAGCTTGATGTGTTGTTTGGCTAGTACACTTTACTGACAGACTTCTGGGGCAAAAGTTAACAAATTGACAATGTTGGCAGTTGCATCAAGTGCATGTGAATATTGCATGATGTTATGTTACTATTTCTATACCTACAATACCAAAGGCAACATTGTTTATTTCCTTCTTGAAGGGCAACAGAGGTTCTATTAAGTAATTTCTTGCATCTATTAACCACTGAAATGCCTGTATATGAGACACAATAGAAAATACATTGTGTCTCGCATGGAACCACGTTTAGACACAGGACAGGTTAATACTTCAAATATTATTACTTTTTAACATAAAAATTTACTTTCAGATTTACCAGCTACCAGTGCAGCAGAGACAGAAGCAACACAAGGATCAGAACAGCCTTTGCCAGAAGGTTTCTTTGATGACCCAATTCTAGATGCTAAGGTAAGGAAGGATTCAAAGAAATTAGCATATCTATTTAATCAAAATTGCTTTAATAAATTCCCCATTTATAGTAACAAAAAAATAATTACCTTACAAGCTATATACCAAGTACTTAAAATGAGCATAACATAATTATATTAATTTAATAGAAAATTATAGTAGTATAAAACTATACCATAAAAATCATACATGAGTATGAGCACAATTTTATTGACCAAATAAATGCTCAAAACATTCATGAATGTACTCAATCATATCAGAGGCTACCATACTTCGGCCTTTCACTGCAAAAGCTTTCTCATTGCACAGTCTTATCAAACGGCTTGCACCATAGCATGAGAGTGAAGAAGCTAATAAGACCTTATCACCTCCACATGTTTCCATTAGTATTTTATCTTTGTTAGCCAAGGTCCAGTGCATCATGATTGCAATTGCTCCAGAGAGCAAATCTCCTTGTCCTCCACACCTTCTGCCTGACCCTCCAATATTAGACTTCCATTGAACATCAGCATCAACACTGTACACCTCATCTATTTCTCCTTTCTTAAATATAGTCACATATCTACCTAATTGATTTAAACCTGTGGGCCCATTTGTTTTAGCACAAAGTCTTTCAAACTCAATTTTATTAGGTGTAAGTATAACTGGAGACATGAACTCTTTTAACAAATGTATCTTTTCAGTAATTAAGAACAAACCATCAGCATCAATAACTAGAGGAATCCTTTTCTCACGTATGACTTCAATGAGTTCAGTCACTACGTTAAATGTTTCTTTTTGACGGCCTAATCCTGGTCCTATGACTATAGCATGCAGCCGTTCAAACCATTGTGATATTTCTGACACAGCATTCGGGAAATCCAGTAAGGGATGTACTATTAATTCAGGACTGTATGACTTTATAACAGTAGCAGACTCTTTAGTACAAAATATATGTGTTAAGTCGGCTCCCACCTGAAAAGATAAAAATTATCTGTAGCAATTCTAATATTAGCCAAAATTGGTATACAATTGATAAAGAAAGACTAACTCTTAATGCACTTATTCCAGAGAAATATGGTGCGCCTGTGTATTCTAATGAACCTCCAATAACTCCTATCCTGCCTGCTTGACCTTTATGATTACTGCCGTCCAAAGGTGGAATGCATGTTTTTATATATTTTAACATGCATGTTTCATCCATTTTATTTTGTATTCCACTCATGGACCTAAAATGATTTAGTGAATAATTTTTTATTAAATTTTTCGGCAAACTTTGTATCAATAACATTGAAATTTGTATCAACATTAGTAGAATGTAAACTAAAAGTTGTAACTCCGATTTTGAAAACACGAAATTATATGCACCTGGGCTATATGTACAAGTTTTAAGTACCTAGCTCTCACCAAATCAGATTATAAACTAAAATTAAATTGTCATGCTAAAATTATAAATTTGACGTTTGTCGCGTTCCGTCTACTTATTTTTTGCAACATTTTGAACATAATAATTTAGTAGTTAATATCGCACACTTTTTAAACTATTCTAAAATTCATGTTTGAAAAGTTACGACTTACCTTTATAGTTACTAAAAGTTTATTAAGTTATGTAATCACAATCAGGCAGTTGAAATAACCGTTAATAAATTAATTATCTAAATATTTTTTAGGTCCGCAACATTGAATATAAAGATCCAATCGAAGAGGAATGGGAAAAGTTCCAAAAAGAAATAAAAGAAGAGGCAACTGCATCGGCTGAAATCATTGCTGGAGAGCAAGAAGAGGCAACAGCAGAACGACAAATTGATGAAATAGATGAACAAATCCGAATCTGGTCAAAGTTAGTATATTTAATTCATTCAAATTAGAAATAAGGAAGATATGAAACTGAAGTGAGAAGTGTATTTTTCATGAAAATGAAAATATTTATTGTGTTACAGAGTCCTAGACCTTGAGTTGAAGAAAGAAGAAACTAAAAAGACAAAACAAGATTTAGAAAAAATGAGTGAAGACGAAAACGGAGATTCAGATAATGAAGATGATATTGACGAATTTTTGGACTGGCGAGCGAAAAAATCATACTCTTAACAGTTATCTTTTATTACAGTTTTTATAATAATTAAAATAATTATCAAATCAATGTTTCTTATTTTTAACCAAATTACTAAATTAAAGAATGATCTTCGAAAGAGAATCTTTGTCGCTTAGTCGCATGTTTCTAATGCTTCTGCTTCTTCATCTCTAATCGTGAGTCGTGTCGTGACTAGTTTATAACTTTTGCTGATGACATTGTCAACAATGACTGACTCTAATGCATACGAGTAAATGTAAGTTATCTGTGGCAATGACAAGCGAAAAACTTGACAAGTTGACAGGCAGCAAATTCAATTTGTTTTCGGCTTTTTATTTATTTCTATATTCTTACTAAATTCTACAACAATTTAACTGTATCATAAAAATATTAACTCATAGCAAGATGTCTAATGAGGACACCGATCAATATCGTGGATTTATAAGAAGGCTACAGAGAGAGGAACATAGACCGGCTGCCCTTAATGACATCAAAAATTTAATTGCATTTAAGCCTGCTGGAGAGGCTATCAATACCATAAGAGATGGGGGAATTTCTAAAATTGTCCAGTGTCTGAATGTGTCAAACACGTATGTTTTTGATAGTAACACTTTCACTTAACACTAACACTTTCATTAACTACTTATATGAAACTTTATTTTTGTTTGTTTTGCCATTTGTTTGTAATATTTTTACGTCACTATTACCCTTAAAACATACTTTATTTTTTAGATCACATGTAGATTTAACTTGTGAAGTTCTAAGAATATGCTTTGAAAAGTTTGAACCAGGAGATGTGGTAAAAAATTATACGAGTCACATAATGTACTTGCTTCGTCATGAAAAGAGTTGTGTTAGGAGGCTTGCGATTGAGCAGGTTGGTACAATTTCTTTTTGGGCAGTTATCTTCACTGACATCTATGTATACCTATTTATAAGAATATTAAATTTATTGTAGGTGCGAAAGGCGGTTTCTACTAGCCCTAACTTACTGCCTGTGCCACAGTATATTGATGTATATGTAGCTGTTGCTCAGTTAGTTAGTGACACAGACGTGGGAGTGGCTAATGAAGCAGTTTTGATAACATCTAACTTACCACATGAGGCCTACCATAAAGTTCTTGAGGAAATGCGGGTGGCACTTGAACTTAACAGCAGCAGCAAGTGTAATGTTTTTGAGGTAGATATGAGCTCTAGTAAAAACTGGATGCTTATTTCAGCTTTGCTTAGTATTGCTTTATTTTGTCAAAGTAAAAAAGTAAGTTACATCTGGATGGACCTCACATCTCTAAAATTTGTATTATAACTTATTTTTATTTATTTAAGCTTGACACATTTGTGTAAGGAGGACTTAATGCTAACAGTATTCTCTGCCAGTCATCCTTATGTGAGACATACTAAATTTATTATGTTTCCGGCCTAATCACTTAACTGTTTGATGAATATCTAAAATTGTTGTTTATTTTGAATACAATATTGTAAAATTTTAGGTAGTAGTCCACATTTCATCAAAATCTTATGAGTTGTTCAAGATGTGTGCGGACATGAAGTATGTTGACTTCATGGTATCTGAACTGCAAACTGATGATATTCTGTACCAAGTGAACATACTTGAACTGCTATCAAGATTGGTTATGAAGCCTCATGGAATCAATTATCTTGTGAAAAATGGATCTCTACAAAAGATTTTAGGATATGTTACAGAGCTGCAAAGCAATCCTCTCAAAGGATTACTAATCCCAGGTAGTGATGAAATTTAATTTACAAAATGGCTAAAAAAGAATAAAGGACACTGTATGAGCTTATTGAATTTTAAATATATACCAGGTAATGTGTATAATTATTACTATAATTTTTAGGCTATATGAAGTTCTTTGGATGTATAGCACACAGTTATCCTAAAGAGATATTTGAGAAACACACAGTTGTTTTTGATACTCTGTTTGAATCTATTGAATCTGCTGACCCAGCTGTACTACCAGTTGCTCTTGATACTTTGGGATTTATTGGTACAACAGTTGAAGGAAAGTTGTGTCTGGCAGCCTTGGGTATGTGTATTCATTTTAATAAAACATATTATTGTGTTATCTCTTTTAACTTCATATTATGAATAATGTAAATTACTTGTTTCAAGGAGGCAAATACACTCAGGCTATCAATAATGTGAGTAGACTGATCAGAAACAGCAATACTGAAACTAAAGTGCGTGCTTTGAATTGCTTTGCTGGGCTCATGAGCATAGATAAAGATCCCACTGTGTCAAGGAGCAGTCCTGTTGATCATAGAGTGACATTAATGACACGAGAATGGTTTAGGACATTGGATTCAAAGCCCATGGAAACATTATTTGAAATCTGCAAGAACCCTTTCCCTGATATAAAACATGCTGCATTTGTTTTATTGGATGCTGTTTGTCAACACCAGTGGGGTGAGGAGATGGTAGCTAGAGCTGCAGGTATTTATTATTCATATACTGTATTAAATAGGCCTTTACAGCTTTGTTCATAAAATTTTAATGTACTAACCGCCAGTGTCATATATTCATAGAAGACCCAAAAAGTTCCCAGCACTTCACAGGTAGGCACAAAATGCTTTTTTGACTTGGTGGTAAAAAGGTTAAAATTACCGATACAAGAACTGAAAAAAACAACTCTTAAATCCAAAATGTCTATACTTAGAAATATAAGATTCACAAAGGTTTTTCACATCTCTAATAATTAGTAATAAATTAAACAAATCAGAACCTAATAAATAATTATTACTACATTTTCAGGTTTCATTGAGTTTTTAATGGATAGGTCTATTGTTTATACAAAGGAGACGAATGAAGCAAAATATGATATTATAAAAAGACTGGCTAACTCTCCTGCATTTGATGCCACTATTATCGGCAGGCTTCATACATATGTTGAACAAGGTCCATTTTATTCTGAAAGTCAGTTGGAAGTTGCAATGGAAGATGAAGACTGAATTACCAAAATCTAAATGGCAACTGCAATTCTATTTACATTTACAATTTTCGTAAAAAATGCCCTTAACATTACAGCACAATTACAAGACTCAATTTTTTTAACTTTCTTGTTATTTTTCAAAATTTTATGATTTAAATAATTTGTGAAAATAAAGAGATTGTTACTTTTTTGTTAAATTTGAAGATATGAGATCTATTTTGGGTTTCAATACTAAAAGTTGTGTAACTTTGTAAAGTAATTAAAAAATATAGTAAACATCTATCTTCGCCTTTTATTTTTCACAGCTGTTTCAGATTTTGTAGTTGTTTTCCTTTTACTGGCCTTGGGTTTACTGGCACTAGCTCCGTATTTAGCAGCTAGTCCATCAATAAAGGAATCTATTTGTTGAGCTCTCTCTTTTTGTTTCTGCTTTATTGAAAGTTCAAGGCTCATTGGTCCTGAAAGTTAATAAAAATATGTATTAAAAGAAATAATGATGGAGTTTGTAAAATATTGTAAAAAAAGGATTCTAAAGTTCGATTCCTACAATTTACAACTGTTACACTGGATATGTAATCTAAACTATTTATAGGTTTTATTTTAAAGGGGGGAAAATCATCGGATTACTGCTCTCGCCTGGGTGAGGCGGGAGGGAATGTCAGACTCTTACTGACTAAAAACCACTCCGTCCTTTCTCCTGCACGTCGAGCCGGAGCCCCGGTAACCCGTTAGGTTCTCCGCGACTCCGAATCGGCATCGGCCCTGTTGGGCCCCATCTGTGGTGGTCTGATGGCTCTTTGAGGCACGCGCGGAACGCGATGCGCCGTACGCTCGGGTCTGTTTCTGGTCGGACGTGGAGCCACCCATGCTCGCCGTCCGCAGGCCCGCGCTTACGGTGGCCGGAGATCGTCCCGCGATCCCCGACGCCCGGTGTGTCCTTCGCTATGGCTGGGTTGCGAGGAGGCAGCGCTTCGCTGCCTCACGCGTCC